CCCTTCCCTGAGCAGTGGGACCGCCCTCAGCCTCAGGACTCCTGCCCGGGCAGTCGGGGAACAGCAGCCTCCCCAGCGCACCGGCAAAGCAGAAGTGGGAGCCCACCGGGAGCCGTAGGCCCGGGTCTGGGTGTGCAGCTCCAGGCCAATGCCCCGTCACTTTCTAGAGGGCTGGTAGGTTTCAAGCATTCACGCCTCGACCCTCACGCCAACCCTTGGCCTTTGGAAGCCCTTGCACGCCCAACTTCCACATACGACAACTAAGGCTGGGCGAGGCGAGTCCTTGACCCAAGATCACAGATGCAGTAGGGGTGCGAGTCCCTGGCTGCTCAACCCGAAGCCCCAGGTCCCAACTGTCATCAGGGTCACTCATTTGGGATTTGGAAGGACCCTCCAGGTTGATCATCATCCCACTTTACAACCAAGCAAACTGAGGCCCAGAGAAGGAGAGACTAATCTAGTCAGCCAGCTGCCACTGGTCGAACCAGTCCTAAGGTTGGTGCAAATGCAATATATTCATTGAGCACTGTGTACCACGCTGCACACTTTGGGGCATCATTTCATTTAATTTTTATAATAACCCTGGGAAGATCGAGACTATTACTGATCCTGTTTTTCATTTGGATAAACTGAAGCAGAATGGGAAGTAGCATCCTTGAGGTCACACAGCTACTTGGCATAGCTCGGAGCCAGGGAGTCAGACTCATCCCCCACCGGAAGAGTCAGGCTGGCGTCGCCCCGTGACCAGCCTCTCCCGCCACGGGAATGGAATCCCCAGGACTCCCTGCAGGGCCGCCAAGGGGCGTGGCTCCTGGAAAGGGCCATGCAGCCCATGGCCCTCAGGAGACCGTCAGGCCCCTGCCTCTGCGAAGAGAAGTTTATCCAACAAAATGCAGACGAGCAAAGAACATGTCCGGCTTTGTGCGTCTCTCGTTACAGGCAGCGCACATCTTGGGGGATATGTGGATGAAAGGCACCATATAAAATGCAATCAATTATGAATCACCATTACTGAATTAATCACATGTATGATTAATACGGTAATAATAATTAATGGGAGTATGGTCTAGAGATTAGGGCTGAGAGCTGTCAGGGAGGAGCAGAGTGCATCTTGCAGCCTCTGTGCGTGCGGCCTGGAGCTGTCATCTTGGGGAGCACGCTGGCTGGGGGCTTGGTCCCTCTCTCCCCGTCCCTGGGCTGTCGAAGGAGAGGCCCACGGACATCCAGAAGCCCCAGATGGGCCTCGGCAGCTCATAGGCTTTTACCATACCCTTATAGCTGCATCTCAACTGCTCAAGGTCACGGGGACAAAGAGTTTCTTGAAGAGTCCAAATCTTGGCCTGGCATAAATGAGCAGCGTGAGCCAGGCCTGAGGGGAGAAGGTGGCAGCAGTGGCTTTTGCTTCTATGCTTCCTTTAAGCATTGGCACGAGCTCCTTTGATCTGCCTGTCCTTCTATCTGTCAGCTTTAGCTTTTGCAGCTTCCCCCAAGTCCCCAGGGGGCTGGTTACCTGTCATCCAGCTCTCGGGTGGTACCTCTTGCTGCAAAGCTGGTAGATTACTGCTGCGTTTGACTTTATAATTTTCCATGGCTTAGCTATCCTGTGCAATTCTCCCCTCTGTGAGTGAGTTGACAGCATAGAAGGAATACGTGCAGTAAAGCCTGGAGTCCCTGTTCACACTTTGGCAGAGCTTCAGAGAGCATGTGTATATAATATATATAACACACACATGTGATATGTGTATATATGGTTATACACACTCCTCTTTTAAAAAACAAAGATGGAATAAAATTAAATGCATTGTTCTGCAAATGCTTTTTTTTTTTTTTTTTTTTTTGGTACTGGGGATCAAACTCGGGTCCTTGTGCTTTCAAGGCAGGCGGAAAAACCACTGGGTTAAATCCCTGGCCTGCAAATGCTTTTTGATAGTAGATTCCACAAACACAGTTCAAATCAGAACTGCACCGTAGGGCCAAAATCCCACCAGTGCAGAAGATGATTAGGCTGCTGGCAAGAGGGAGATGGTGATTATTTTTGGGAGATTCATTAACACTTTCCTGACCCTGCTGTGCTTCGTCTTTTCACTGCCAGGGAAAGGTCGTCTGTCCCAAGGAACCTTAATGGTTTCCGAAAATGAACGTCCCCCGCCACCTGGTCCCTCCATGGCCGGAATCCTGTTTGTCCTCCCGCCTGGAAAAGCAACACTTTATTGTTCCCTTGAAAGGGACTCCATCTCCTGGTGGCTTTGTGGAGTGTGGCCCCAGGACTGTAGGCCAAGGACCACCTGGGACAGATCTGATTGTGCAGATGGAGAAACTGAGGCTGGGAGCGGGGAGGAGATTTCCCCCCAGGACACACAGCTACTTAGGGGCTGAGCCCAGAACCTCCCATAGTCCTGACTCCCTCGTGGAGCTCTTTCCACTGCCCCAACTTTGACTTCGACTTCTGGGGTTGGACAGTGGGGAGACCGGAGGAAGCCCAGCTCCGCAGTGGGTCCCTGCAAAAGCCTGTTGGCCTGCGCTTCCTGCAGAGTCAGGGAGTGTGGGGTGGGAGGTGGCTGGAGAAGCATTTGAAAATTGTTTCCAGTTGCCCAGCTTTGCATCCAGGTCACTCGGCCCAGCCTGGCCCCTCCTCCGTGTTCCAGTCTGCCAGCCCAGAGTGGGAAGCACCCTCCTGCCCGTCTTGTTGGGTGATGCTGACGGCACCAGTGCAGCGAGGATGGAGGAGCAGGGCTTTTCCCTGGATTGATGACCCTGCCTGGGGGACAGCAGACTGAGGGCGAAGGGTGATCACTCACCCTGTGCCAGAGCCCCAGGCTCTGCCCTTCTGCAGGCCGAAGGTTCTCAGAGCACAGCTCTGTGCTGAGCTCTGCAAGCTTCCTTCTGCTCCACACTGAGACCAGGGAGCTGGGGACCAGGGCTGCATCTGCTCTCCTGGACGCCAGGGAGGGATCGGAGAGCAGGTGCGGGTACAGACCCTCCTTGGCCCTGTTTGGACTCTTCCTTAGGAAAGAGTTTGCCCAAAGTGACATTTCACAGGTGGGGAAACTGAGGCCCTGGAGCGATGGATGCCATGCCCTGGTTAACCAGCAAGTCCGGCAGCCACAGAGCTCCACCCCCTGGTGACCCAGAGCCCAGTCGCCGGCCAGACCCTTCAGGAGCTGCATGACCTTGGCAAATGCCTCAACTCCGAGCTCCAGCTGAAGTTGGGACTCTGTTAGGAGCAGTTATGTTGTCACAGGGCGGGCAAAGCACAGCAATGGGCTTGTGTGGAAGCGGACATAAAACAGGTGTTCAATAAATATTATTATTATTATTATTATTATTAATTAGTGTAGCAGATGACGGTCCTTAATTCTACGTCCTCTGCTTGCTTTGTCACAAGCTTCTAAATGTTATTCAGCAGCACAACCCTCTCTCCGGGCTTAGGGGGGCGCCGCCAGGAAGGGTTAAGGTAGGGTAAGGAGGTAAGGGGTGACAGGGAGGTGGGGCACCCAGGTGCCACAACTTGCTCCCATTTCTGACACCCTCTGTGACCTTGGACCAATCTCTCTCTCTCTCTCTCTCTCTCTCTGTCCTCAGGCCCTTTGTTCTTGATGCTTCCAAATGACAGTGCTGGCTGCTTGAGCACAGCAGTAAGAACCCACCCTGAAGAGGCCAGGGGCCTGGAGCACCCCCAAAACATAAGCGCGCCTGGAGGACAGTGCAAGCCCTCCCTCCACACAGCCCCAGGAAGCAGCCTGGGGGAAACTCTCCAGGGGCCAGAGAGCCAGGGCTGCCCACTGGTGCCAACTCAGTGGCCTGTGCCCGGCCTTGCCCCAGCCCTCCCACGCCTCCTCCCAGGCTCGCCCCGGGGAGGGGGGAGGCGGAGACCCCCCCCAGCCGGCCCCCCTACTGTGCACTCCCGGCAGAGCTGGCTTGGCTTCTCCAAAGCTGGGCCCATGAGGGTGGAGGCGGCGACGCGTCAGCTGGTATTCAGGCTCTGGTTGTGCGCTCAGATCTCCCCCTCCCCATCTCCCCAAATCCACCCATCCCCCCTTTACCCACTGCTGGGGCCTTCTGGGTGGCAGACCTTCATAGAGAGAGAGCGGAGCAGCCTCCAGCCCTAGACTGCTGGGGTGGGGGACCCGACTCCCCCGGGCCCCTCCCCGGTGCCGACGGGGCAGCCCCCACACCCCCGGGCACCGGCACCCCGGAAGACCCTCTGGCTTTTGGAGAAAAAAGCTACAGCCCCGCTGAGCCAGCTGAGGATGCACCCTGCGCGCCGGGACCCGCCGGCCCCCGCGCCCGGAGGCGATGTGTAGGCAGCGACCCCCTCCTGGAACAGACTCGCTCGCCGCTGGGCCGCATGCGGGGGTCCCCTTGGCCGCGGGCCCTCGGGGACGCCCCTGCTCGTCGCGCCCCTCCCCGGGCCGCGGCGTCCCCGGAGTATCGCAGTATTTCCTCCTGCACCTTTAAGAAGACCGCGGCTCTGTGGTGGGATGGTGTGTTAGAGCCACACAGAGGAAGTTACGCAGCCCGGATCAGGCCGAGAGATAAAAGCCCGGTGGTGATCGCGGGCGATGGCAAGAGGATTGTGCCTGGGCATTAACTTGGAGCGGCGCGCGGGGGGGCCCTGAGCGCCCCGCCATCTGGCCCGCGCCTGCTGGGGCGGGAGGGGATGCCCCGGCGCCCCGACCGGCGGCAGCCGCCTAGCCCGCCCAGGCGGGGGACTGCGGGGCGCACGAGCGCGGCTGCTCCCCGAGCCGCCCAGGGGGCCCCAAAAGTTTGCACTTGTTAGCGGCGGCCTTGGGCTCGGATGCGGGCTGCGCGCGCGACCGCCTCCCCCGGCCCCAGCGCCCGGGACAGCAGCGGGCGGCGCCCCCGGCGGCCCCAGGGCGCCCCAGCCCCGGCCTGACGGCGCCCGCGTCCCCACCCCCACCCGGCCGCGCCGCACCCAGCGCCGCCCGAGGACGGCGACGGCCTCGGTCCGCCCCGGAGCCGCCGAGCCGGGTAAGGCTGCAGCCTCGCCGCTGCTTGCATCGCTCAGGGCTTGGTGGCCGCGCAGCTCCCCGGGCCCCGAGCGGCTCCAGCACCGGGCAGCTCCAGCTCGGCTGCAAAAGTTACTGGGTAGCGGCTGCCACGGCCGGGACTGGAGTGGCCCGAGAGGGGTGTGAACAAGCCGGGGCTGCATCTTCTGGGAGTCGCCGGGGCTCCTGCCCCCCGCTCCCACCTCCCAGCCCGGCTCTCCCCCGCGGGTGGCTGTCGGAAGGATGCTTGTTTGGGAGCACGCACGGTCAAGTCGCCCCCCTCCAGCGCGGCTGCGGACCCCCCGGTAACGCGCGCGCCCCGTGCCCTCGCCTCTCCGGAAACTGCCAAGCGCGCACTTGCGCCCGAACTCTCGGCCAGCTGGAAACTTCTCTCCGCGCGGCGCAGGGGCTCGGTAGGTGGAGGTGGGAGCGAGCCCCGAGCTCGGCGTGGAGTTGGGCTCCGAGTGGGGAGGCTGGATCAGGGGAAGGCGGGAAGTGGCCCGCGGGCTCCCAGTGCTCCCGCCCCGGAGTGGGTTGCGGGTCTTGGCTGGGGTCGCGGTGTGCGGCAGCGCGTGGGGAAAAGGGGGTGCAGCCCCTTCCTGGGTGTTTTGCTGCTGCTCGGTGTGTTTTCATTAAGGGAGGCGGTGCCGAAGGAGGGGGCCTCCTCGATGCAGCCTAGGTCTTTGTGAAAGGCTTGATTATGAATTGTTCAGGTGGTTCGCATAAAACTTGGAAATGCAAAAGCAGAGGCGGGTTTGCCTGGCTCCATGTGCGGTTTACACGGTTTGCAGCCTGCCTGAAAGGCAGACTCTACCGACTCCTGGCGTCCGTGGTCCGGGGCGGCCCGCTTGTGAACGGGGACCCACGCGCGAGTCCCCAGCCCCTGGCCGCTCGAGGCTGCTCCCCACCACGACCGCGCGCCCAACTTTCCGGGGCTCCCCGGCTGCAGAGAGGGCGCCACGGGGAGCCGCGGGCCAGAAGAAGCGCAATTGCAGAGCAGGGTGTACCGGAGACGCGGGAACCCCGGTATCGCTGAGCCGGTGGGAGCGCTAGGGAGCGACAGGGCCCCGCCCCGGGCGGAGGACTGGAAGGTGACCCTGGTGAGATAAGGCTCCCCGTCCCTCCTCGTCCCTGTCCCACCCTTCCCCAAAGCAGATTCCACACCTTCCACTGCCTGGCTGGAAGAGAAAGGGAACCTCAGAGGATACTGAGGGATACTGTCCCCCCCAGCACCCCCAGGAGCCCGTGCCCGCCGGGACAAGTTTCCCAGGAGGCCAGGGCGCAGCCGGCCGCCCCACGAGGAGCCGGATCTCAAGCCCAGCCAGCTCCCAGAGGCGCTAATTCAATAAGACAGAAATCTGAGTTCAGAAATCCTGATAAAATCTAATTTTCATGTTTTAATACCCCGGCTATCAGCCCCCCACGGTTCCTGAGGAGTCTTAAAAGAAAATAAAGCGCATTGATTCTATTTGTTTCTGGGAGCTGCAGTTTCTTAATAATATCAGGTGAAGATTTATTTTCCAAGGAGAAAACGATCCACCAGGATACAACCTCTTACTCTGAGATTTCCCTGCCAGCTTGGACTTCTCCCTGGCTGCTCCTCCTCGTTATTCTGGGGACTCTTGCGCCTCCCCCACCACTCCCCTTTTCTTTTTTGGCAAAACCCGGTAATATCTGAGTGCTGAGCTCACAATTCCCCCTACGATGCCAGCAAGGCCCAGTTGATTGACTGATTGTAAACACATTTTCCTCTGGCAGATTTTGTTGTTGTCCCCCCCCCCCCTTCCTGGGAATGTGTGGCATTTAAGCCAACAAAACTGCAAAGCAATTAGTAGAGTTGCAAGTTGCAACTCCAGGCCTGTGCTTCGGGCCTCTGGGCTCGCTGCCTCCTGGCCGCCCCAACCAGCTCAGTCCCAGCCCTGAGCAGCCGCTGGTCCTGCAGTGGACACCTGCAGCCGGACTCTCTTTGCAACCCCAAAGCCCAGCGCCCTAGTTGTCCCCAGCCGTCAGGAGCTCCCTACCTGTTAGTGAACAGTCGGGAGTCTGCTGCTGGAAGAATTAATTAGGAGCATGCTGTTTTCTGGGCAGCACGGATCTCGCTCGGGTAGACAGAAGCATACAAGCCGTTGCCGGCCACGCTATTTTATTTTTACTACATTTTCTCAGGTTGTAAAAATAGATGTTGGGCACTTTTTTTTTTTTTTCTGAGAGTTTTCTAGCAAGGACCACATTCAGGGCTGGGCAGACTCTATTACAGGTTTCTCTTTACGCAGCCCGGGGTGAGATGGGATAATGTGGTCCTGCTCTCGTCCCCATTCATCTGCATCAGGAGCCTTCTTCCAGGGAGAGGGGCAGGGCCACGGAGAGATGGATGAGTCCCGCTGTGGGCCTGGAGCTGGGGGCTCGGCTGGGGCTTCTCCCAGAGCCCAGATGCTCAGCTGCCAGCCCAGGCCACAGTGCCCATCCCTCCGGTTTGTCATTTCTGGCAGGAGTGTGTTTGTGTCTGGGTGGCAAACAGGGTTTCATAGAAATAGTTAACTCTTCGGCACTTTCTGTGTATCGTGGCTCATGAGGCTGTCAGGTGAGAGTCGGCCTGACATTGGAGTGATTTGGGAATTTAAATGCAATGGTCCCGGGCACAGTAACCACAATAATGAATGGCTGAGACTCTTGCTGTAAGTCATGGTGGTAATCTTTGGCCTGTTGGCAAGTATTTTTGGCTGGGGCCCCATGCTGGCGGGACAGAAATTCTCCCGGGGAGGTAGCAAGCCTAGGGAACCCACCACGTTACTGGAGTCATGTATTTCTCTGTGTAACACTGGAGTTAGTGATATCTGTTTGGGCTTTTATGTAATTACCAGAGGCTCCAAATAGTAAACCAATAATCACAACAGTGATCCATTTATAGAGCCTCTAAAGATGATTGTAAAATCTTGGGCTTGATCATTTTCATTTCTGTGCAAGTCTTCCATATCCTACTCTCTTATCTCACTAAAAAAATTGAAACTCACAGCTTCAGGTTGTGCCGACCTGTGTCGGAGCCTAGTTCTCCGCAGCTGGTCTGGATGTGGACAGCCCCTCCTCTGTCCCCGTGGACGGGGTCCCCCATGTCCCCATTGAGGAGTCTCATCGGCTCCTCTAACGACTTTGACATTTTGACTTGTTGGGGTGGTATTTGAAAGCAGCCGTGAAGTCTTGGTGGGTGGGGATGCTTTATGTCCCTGACCCTCAAGCAGCGCCACTGTGACTGAATCAACGTCCCCTAAATGATGAGACGGCGCTCACCTTTTTCATAACGTGCCCAGTCTCCAAATGTGCAACTCTGATATTAATAAAAATAACCCAGTTTCCTCAGGAGACCTTGCTAATGCAGCCTCATTTTTTGCACATTTTGCTAGAGAGCTTTTGTTCTTATACGTCTCTAATCTCCCCCTTTTTAATTTGTTGCAGGTGTTGTTGCTAATGAGCCCTCTCCCCACCCCCCTCTCTCCAATGAAAGACAAGCCAGGCCCCAGGTACCTAGATGGACTGAAAGCTAAAGTCGTAGAAACTTCATAGTAAGTTGCCGGTGGCCACCAGGCAAGGCTGGCTGACCCCTGTGAGTAGTGGCTGCCCCCCCGCGAAAGCCAAGCCGAGTCACCTCCCCAGTTAACACCTCAGTAGCTGTTTTTAAAATTTTCTTTCTTTCTTTTTTTTTTTTTTGGTACCAGGGATCGAACTTGGGTCCTTGTCATTGCGCAGCAGGCGACAAAACCACTGAGCTAAATCCCCAGCCCTAGTAGCTGTTTTTATTTTGCAGCCTAGTCATACAGTCACTGTCACCTTCAGCCCATATGAAAAGAAATCTCTTTTATTGGTCTGAAATGCCAGGTCCGGTCCCAAGGAGGGAGCACGTTTCCGGCTAACATGTACACCTCCTGATTTTATTTTATCTTTACCATGCAGGCTGGAGGGTTGTTACACAGTTGTGTCGAGCACATCACACATTGAGGGCCCTTTAAAGACCTGGATTGATTGGAAGGACAAAAATTAAAAGCAATCTGATCCAGCCCCATGCCGGATCCCTGCGGATTCTCTCCTTATCCCATTTCCACCCACTGTCACAATTTGAGAGTCTGCCTGATTTGATCAGATTCACCTCCGGGGGAGGTGTTCACGCCAAGGTTAGGTGGACGCCAAGTTCGGCAACTTCTTGATCTGCCTGCCCATCAGCAGTCTGAAAACGCTGGCTCTGAATTTTCCGTTGTGGCCTTCTAGAAAAAACAAGTTCCTCGCTGTTTGCAAACCTGCGGCGCTCAAGCCTCTGGGACATCCCGGCCACTGCCGCCTGGTAGATGTGACTTTTCCATGCTGAGGCCGCAAGTCCCCCCTGAGCGCGCCGCAGCCTTCCCAGGGCGTCTCTGGGCCGCGCCCCTGCGGCCTGCACAGCCATGCTGCACCTGCTGCCGCTCCTCCTGCACTGCCTGGCGCCGGCCTCTGGGGACTACGACATCTGCAAATCCTGGGTGACCACGGACGAGGGCCCCACCTGGGAGTTCTACGCCTGCCAGCCCAAGGTGATGCGCCTGAAGGACTACGTCAAGGTGAAGGTGGAGCCGAAGGGCATCACGTGCGGGGACCCCCCGGAGAGGTTCTGCTCCCACGTAAGTCAGGCCCCTGGCTCCACCTGGAGGTCCCCGCAGGGCCTGGGAGGGCCGTGGAGTGGGTGAGTGAGGAGGAGCAGGCTCCTCCCCTTGTTTTGGATTGGGACTGGGCCCAGTCTTTGTTCCATCTTGGAAATGAGCAGGAGCGGAGCCACCCAAGGCCCTGGGGTCACGTGGCATTCTCCGGGTGGGGCTGCTTGGGCCGGCTGAGCAGTAGTAGGTGGTTTCTGCTCAGGAAGAGTGTGATGTTCACAGTTTCCGCAGTTCCTGGCCTCATGGGCAAGCCCCGCCTCCCTGGTGGGGAGTCAGCAGTCCAGGCAGCAAGAAGATACTGTTTGTTATGATGTTGCACTCTGGCCTGCCTCGGTTTACCCCTTCTGCGGGGCATCCTCCTAGCCCCCCACTGCAGTCTAGCAGACAGTGCTGTGAGGCCAGTGTGTGCCACGCCCCAGAGCCACCTGACAGAAGGAGGTTTGCTTCCAGGGCCCCTCCACGGGGCTCCGAAAGAGGACAGCGCGGGCAGGCGGGCCGGACAGCGGCCAGAGTCCTTTCCTGGCCATGGTCGCAGTGAGCAGGGGAAGGCAGGTGTTCAGGCATGGTCACTAGCGTCCCCAGTTAGGGAGGGTGGGGACTTACCCACAGATACCCAGTACTCTAGTGATGTTTGCAATAGCAGTAATAAGAGCAGAGGTCATTTAACGGGCGATCCTGGAACGCAGGCTCCGGGAGCCTGACTTGTGTCACTCCACCAGCTCCTCCCATCGACCCGGCGGGGCTGATTCTGTGTGGTGGGAAGTAGGAGTGTTAGGAAGTGACGTCTGTTCTGTCGCCTGTAAAGTGGGCACATTAACAACGAGCAATCACTTGTGGTTGTAAGGCATCCGTGGTTCCACGAAAAGTGTTCAAAATAGGATCAGGGACAGAGCAAGTGTCTTGGCCTGCCTCAGTTTACCTTTCCTGTGGTGCATCCTCCTAGCCCCCCAGTAGAATCCAGCAGTTGCTGTCATTCCAGTCATACACATGGGGAAACTGAGGCAGTAGTGGTGGAGACCTTCAGCCAAGGTCACATACCCAGAAGTGATTATGGCCCCAAGGCAGGGAGCTAAACTGCTCTCTGAGGCCTGGAACCTCGCTGAGGCCTGCAGCCCCAACCCTGGGCAGGGGGCTGGGCAAGGCTACCTGGCTGCAGGAGGAGACAGCAAGGGCTCAGGGTCATATCCAGGTGACTGCGCTCCAGGTTCCGGCGGGGCCAACCTGGTGTCTCCACCCTGGGCTTCGGAGGCTGTCTTATCCCATGAGGTGGCTTCAGCCAGCCTGGAAGGTTCCCACCTGGGCTTGTCAGTGGTGATAAGGCTGTCACTGTGGGTGGTGGCTGGGCCAGGGCCAGCCAGGGAGGGAGGGAGGGAGAGGGAAAGGCAGCACAGGGCTGGGAGCCAGGGTGGAGAGTCCGTGGGCAGCAGTGCCCTGGGGACTGCAGGGCCAACCTGGCTCCTAGGCAGGTGAGGGGGCTGGGCCCTGGAAGTGGGGAGCAGCTGAGGGTAGCCCAGGTCGGAGTCTGGGTCTTCCTGGGAGAGGAGACTTCTGCGTTGTGTGGTCTCAACTGTGTTTTTTCTCTTAAATATTAATGGATGCCTTAATGTGCAGGGGGCAGGTGCAGTTACATTGTAATTCATAGGCCCAGCTTGCAGGCAGAGCTGGAGGGGCAGGGACGGGATGAGATGCCAGCCGAGCGAGGCCTTGTCCTGGCTGAGGCCGGCCCGGGTGCCCTTGCCCTGGCCTGCTGCCCCATCTGCCCCCCACACAGAGCCCACACAGCTGATCCCACTGCGCCCCGACCCTCCGGTCTCCTGGGAGACAGGTGGGGAGGGCAGGGGGAGATGAGCGTCCCCGAGACCCTGTGTGGCTGAGTCCTTGGCGCCACGCCACCTGTTTGACAGATGTAAATATTTCATGACAGACTGCCGTCCGCTCTGCCTCTGCTTACAAATGTGCAGACAAGGAGGATGGGGATGCTGGTGCCCAGATGGGTGCAGGGGGGCTGTGTGGGGCTGGATTCGAATCCCAACTTTACTGTTATGGTGGCTCCTCCCATTTAATCATCTCTAGGATGCCCTGGGGCAAGTCCCGTTCTGATCCCTTTTTAACCATTGGAAACCATTGCCTGAGCCCTGCCAAGGTCACTCCCAGTGCCTGAGACCTGCCAGGTGCACCAGCCCCTCCCTGAGCCTCAGCCTGTTCCTTTTTCAACAGCGACGGCCCTGTAGCTGTGTCACAGCACCGGCAGGAGGAGGCAGCGTGGCGGTCCAGGCCCTGGGTACGTGCGGCACACAGTGGGTGCTCCCTGTGCACTCGCTGCTGTTAGCTTATCACTGTTACTACTCTTGGTGTTTTTCTGGGCTTTTCCTTTTCTTTGGACTTCTTCACCTTGCTCGAGCTTTGAGGACACCACGCCCTGTGTTTCTAGGTTTGGGGGAGCAGGCAGACAGTCGGAGTTTAAAACTCCTCTTGCCCTAGCAGGTGTGGCCAAGCAGCCACCAGGGGTCGCTGGAGAGGCGGCCAGCCCATCCCAGGCCCCCTTAGCTCTGCAGTGGACCCAGTCCCTGCTGTCTGCGTCGCTCTGCTGACGGGTGCAGGACCACCTGGCCCAGCATCCAGCCAACCAGAGCACAAATCCAAGAGTGGAAAGGGGGGACAAAGGGTGGACGCCCCTTTTGGTCTGGTCACACATCCCTCTCTCCCAGGCTGCCCCTCCTCTGCAAGGCAAGGCCACCTGAGAACTGAATTGTAAATTCCAGCCGGGTGAGGAAGGGGCGGGGGATGAAAGACAAGATAAATGGATAAATAAAAACCTATTGGCTCTAAATGCACAAGGAGGATTAATAGGACGAGCTCTCAGCTGAGGATTCTTGGGCAAGGGCAAAATTTCAATGAGGGCTTTGGGGGCCAGAGGTGCCCCCTGCCCGGCGCCCAGCCCTGGCCCAGAGGCCAGAAAGCCAGAGGGCAAGGCTGCCCCCAGGACCTCTCTGGGCCGGGGAGGTTTGGGGGGAATGGGGGTGGCCCACAGTGTTCCGCAAGACTCAGGAGAGACACAGTGGGGCAGGCAGGGTGGCTGTGGCCTCACCCCGCACCCCAGCCCCCAGCGCTTGGCCCTGGGGCCCCAGCATCCGCCTATGGGAAACGATCCCAGCCCCACTCCCAGCCTGCTGGGCTGGAGGAAGCAGGTGCATGCAGGCCTGGCCATGGCCGTGGTATTGATGGACAGGAGGCCAGCAGCTGCCGAGGGTCTTTGCTGGTTAAGGCTGCTGAGGGGAGGAAGGGGCCGGGGTCTTGGGAGCGAGGGAATGGCAGTCCAAAGACAGCCTCAGTTTCCCCGTGTGTAGAGAGATGTTGCCCTGCCTTGCCCGCCTCCCCACCTTCCCGGGAGGAAACGCAACTCTCTGAACCTGCAGGCGCTCTGGTAGAGCGAGGCCCTTTCTAGGGTGAGGCCTGAGTGTCATGGCATATTCAGCCTTGAGTGACTTGGCTTTTCCCTGTTGAAATGGGTGGGTATTAGACTTGATTCAAGGAGGCTCTGGAGAGATGGAGAGTGGAATTCCACGCTGTGTGACTCTCATTGTGAGGCTCACCCTCTCTGAAGCCCTCCCCCAAGTCAGGGGATTAACAGAACACGCATAGGGAACTGCCTGAGCAGTGTCGAGTGCTTAGTAGGTGCTCAGTTCACGCGAGGTAGGAACCTGTTCTCTCGGCCCAGATGTTGGCTTCCCTGGCTCTGTCAGCCTCACTGTCCAGTGGAGCTGGGAGTTTGCACGGCTCAGCTCGTCGTGCAGCCACCGTCTCCCGAAACGCCCGAGGCAGGGCCCAGCCGAGGACGAGAATAGTTCCCTGAGCTGACACCTTGTGGTGCAGTGAAGGCTCTTGCCCGGGGAGCAGGCAGAGGAGCCTAGGCTGTCACCAAGCCCTGGGGACATGGGGATGGATCCTCCCTGCTGCCTGTTCTGATGGAGCGTTGGGTCCAGAGACCCTGAGGGGGCAGGGGCGGTGCAGCCGGAGAGCAGTGGGGTCCAGAAAGGGCCAGAGGGACATCTTTCCAGTGCCAGAGACTCCCTGGCTTACCTGTGCCCACCTTCCCAGGCGCTGCTCCCTCTCTATTCCGCACCCGTTTTGTGGGGTTTTTTTGTTTTTTGGGTTTTTTTTGAGACAGGGTCTTGCCATGTAGTTCAGGCTGGCCTTGAACTCACTATGTAGCCTGGGCTGGCCTTGAACTTGCTGCAGTCCTACTGCCTCAGCCTCCCAAGTGCTGGGATTACAGGCGTGTGTCACCATACCTGACACCCCTAGCCATGCTTTAAATGATTTTCGTTTTGGACCTTTCTGCACGTGTCATCACAAGCCGCCTCTGGTCCCATGGGTAGTGAGCCAGGCAATGGGTGAGCCCAGGGACAGGTGGGCTCCTGCTGTGCTTTGGAGTGGGGTGGATGTGCATCCTGCCCCTTCAGAGCTGTGGAGGATTAATCCCTGGCGAGCTGCCTCTAAGGGCCACGCGTGCCAGAGGGGTGTAGATGGTTCAGGAGAGGGTCCTGGAAGTTTTTGAGGAGCAAGGGTCTGGGCAGAAGGAGAGAGAGGGAAGGGTCCGGGTGCCGGAGGGGGGTGGCCACCCCAACTGCGCATCTCCTAGAAGCCCCTCAGGCCGGTGACAGGGATCTCATGGTGCCTTGACAGCTGGGTGCCCAAGGCTGCCCTGGGTCCTCTAGCTCACAGGGTGGAGGCCATTCTGACAAGGACCAAGGAGGGCCGGGGAGGGGAGGGACAGAGGGGAGGTCCCGGCACGGGCTGGACACAGGGGCCCCTGCCCTCACCTCGGCTGTGGTGTCCCCAGGAATGGGGTAGCCTGCAGGGCCATGTCTAGCACACAGCCTGGGCCCAAGGCTGCCCGACTGACCCGGCCGGAGCCCCCCGTGGCCCATGCGAAGGGACCCAGTGACAAGGAAGGTGAGAAGCCA